AAAAAAAAAAAAAAAATTGTTTAGCCTGAGAATATACGAGTTTTCTTCCTTTAAATTATTTTCCCGTTAAATGCACTCCAGCCAGCAACGCTTAAGGAACCCTAATGTACTCTTTATTCACCACTTTAGTTTCAATTACTGACGAGTTGAATTCCTTTGAAGAAACACTCTGTAAAAATGACAAATAATTAATTGTATGTTAGCACAGCAGCACCCTTTGCCTCTAAACTGCCGACACTTATTAGTTATGTACTTATATAGTATATATACATATAGTATATAGTTCGTATGTATTGTTTCCACTGGTAGGAAGTTCTGCAAAAAGTTATATGCAAACGCACCATCATATTATTATTTTATTTCAATGTTTTTAAATAATTGTTTCTTACATATTATACAATATTTGTGGCGCATACTCATTTACAACAAAAAAAAAAACAAATTATTTAATATTTTTATATTAATGGAATTAATTACTTATTATAAATAATTGAATATTAATTAAGTAAGGAAGGCATATGCTCGGGTGCAAGCGAACATTTTATATTGCAACCTGCCGTAAGATGTAAAACGTCAATCAATAGACCGGAATGATTCATACACTGACCGATAAATTCGCTGGCCGAGGTTGAATTAAAAGATGAAAATCATTATACATACTTATCTGGTATATAGGGGATGCGTATAGTATCGGCTCGATTTTATCTATGTTTGCCATACTAGTAAAATGTTCCCTGATACTCATTAAGGCAGCTCACAAGCCATTAACAATCATATAGAGTAAGGTCACCCGGATTCGACCAATTTTATGCATTTTAGGAACAAAGATACACTATTATCAGTAAAATACGCTATATTTGAATTGAGCACGTGTTGGGCGATATATGCGATACTATTGTCAGGGAAAGTTAATCCCTGAATTTCACACATTGGCCAATATTTGTCGCAAAACGTCAGGGGTCCAAATATTCGGTGCAAAGTTTTATCCCGTTATATTAATTGCTTCTCGATTTGTATACTGGAAAGGAAAGAGTCAGATGAAACTTAAAATTGTGTTATATGGGTGGTAGACATGGTTACAGTGCGATTTCGCCCATTTTCGCACTGTGACATAAGAATGTTACTTATTGAATTGGGTTGAAATCGGTCGAGTAGGTCCTGAGATATGTGAGTTTATTTAATAGCGGTTTGTATAAAGCGTAAAATTTAATGTATCTGGCCTTTTTTGTTATTGATTTTGTAGGTTTTAACAGTACCGTTATATATATACATATGTATGTATGTGGGTGGGGTAACCATCCGATTTCATCCATTTTCACGCTGTCTGTAACAGTTCTTATAAGAATTGTCTAAAGCGAATTTGGCTATTGTAGCTTTGGTGGTCTAGGAGATATGTTCATTAAACCTATTGTCGATAGGCACCCTTGACCAGTAGCAACATGTTGCAAGAGTATAAAAATCACAATGGATTTGCTACATCAGATACAATAACGCCAAATTAATCGTATGGTTACCAGTGCTTCTTAATAATTTTTATTAAGATCAAACATCCATCTTTTTTTTATCGAAAATGTATTATTTTGTTATCGGAAGTTGATTACCCTTTATCGAAAATCTGTAAGTTTGTTATAAGAAATTGATTTATTTTTGCAATCAAAAGTCGATAGTTACTGTTAATCGATAATTATTGTTATCAATGAAAACAATTATATATCAATGATAATTAGGGTGCTACATATGCATGTCTTTTCACCATTATTGCCTCCATCATAACTCCTCATGATTGCAGTAAGAGCTACTGTCTCGGTAAATCTCAAACCTTTGCAAGTTGTAATAATATAAATATATATATATTACAGTCGTAATAATATTTTTTGTAGGCACCAATTACAATTCAATGAAAATTGTTGTTGAAATAAATTGACAACAATATCGATATAAAATAATACACCGAGAATTTATTATA